TTCTGGACACGGCCGTCGGGGAGCTGCACGTAGTACGTTCCCTGAGTGTTGTAGCATTGGGAAGCAGACGGTATTCTCACAGAGATCATGACAAATGAACTTCAGTAGAGGAATACACATGTACCAAACTCTATAAGTTCGTTGTGCTCACCTACCTTAAAGTGTATCGTGTGAAAGTTTGTTTTTCTATATGAATGCACCTCGTGCGTATGCATTTCCTTCAGTGATTATAAGTCTGGAGGCTTCTACATGTAACATAAAAATAGACTTGACGTCTATTTGGGTCTGCAGATAAAAATAACTGATATCTGCACTACATACTTTATTTCGTACAATAAACGTTTAGAATAATTTAGCGAATGATGGAGATGGAACAAGTTGGCATGAAGTGGATACTGTGCCTCCCCGTCGTAGGTGACCTCTGCCACTTACTACGTCGCTGGCGAGTCCGGCCCTCGCTATGGACGCAGTAGGTGACCCGCAGACGACCGTCGAAAAATATATACCAGCTTGTTCTTCAGGAGGGATTAAAGCCACTGATCCAGTTTTATGTTACGAACTTCCTAACAAAGATTTGAACGTTTTAGGCAGGAGACCGTTCCCTCGAACAGATGCCCTTTTGGTTAATCTCGGAGTAAGATTCGAATAAGCTCGCGTTTCGTGACCGTCCGTCATAGTCCCCGGCCGTGCGTATTACCGCTGCACAAGGCGGTCGTCTATAAGGGGTTAAATCGATTAGTTTAGAAATACTATATTAATTAAATTCATCAAATAATTAACGAGAGGACATAAACCTTAATTTTGTCTTCGACGTTTAGGTTGACTATGTGATTTTTTTTTTTTTTTTTTTTTTTTTTTTAAGCGCGTTTGAGAAAGGCATTGCTTTCACACCATTCTATGTAATTTTCATTAAGAACATATATTCGGCTTTTTTTTTTTTACCCTGCGTTTGCTATTTATGTTTTTTTTTTTTAATCTAAATTTTGTTTTGATGGTAGGAATCTTGTGGTTTACCAGCTAACATTACCATGGCTCTGTCCGACAGCAGTCCAATTCAATTTCAAATTGTATGTAATACAACCTGACAATATATGTTGTATCTTATATATATATATATATATATATATATATATATATATATATATATATATATTTTTTTTTTTTTTTTTTTTTTTTTTTTTTTTTTCTTTCTTTCTTTTTCTTTTTTTCATTTCGAAAAATGACGGTCCTTTTTATGTAATAGAATACGTAAATTGTCGTTTTAGGATTATTTTTTTCTTTTCTCACTCCCTTAGTTGTCCCAATTCGTTATCTCTCTCTCTGCATAAACATATTACTATATG